TATTATCCCGAATATTCTGTACCAAATTTCGAACACACGTAGAAATTATACTTCTACTCTGTGAACTTAGCAAACGAAGCAAGTATATATATATATATATATATATATATATATATATATATATATATATATATATATATATATATATATATATATATATATATATATATATATATATATATATATATATATATATATATATATATATATATATATATATATATATTTATTGAAGTCTGAACTCTTCAACTTTTTGAGAAAGTGGCACAAGGCCACGAGCACGGAGAACTCCTACAACAACACTGTGCATCATCCTCCTGTCTTTTATGTTCTGAAATGCACACTTGACTTGTTAGTTGTTACAAAAATAAATTACTGTACATAGTACGTATGTACTAGCTTCATCCATATCGTCCTACAAGTATGCTGTTTGTATGACTATGAAAGAGTCAACCAAACAAACGTTCATTTTGTAGGATGAATCCCATCAACATTAAGCGTGGATTTGACTTCATCATTACTTTCCACTTATTTAAATGACATCAGTAACAGTTTTTTTCGACACTAATCATTTGCAAATTTTACCATCTATGCATCAAGGATTATGTATGTCTACGTATTGAGGTGGTTAGACCTATACCCTGAAATGCTCTCAGCATAGGAGCCCTGTTGTACTGGAGTGCTTCATCGTCAAAAGAACAACAAAGACTGACGGAAAAAGAACTTCCGAAAGGCATGGGAAGACAGCCTGAGTCGCAGCATCAAGGTCTGACCCAATTTGAGCAAAGGCGCCATTCCCTGGGAGTTCCACCAGCGGCCTGGATCTCCGATTGGGAAACCGTATCCAAGCTCCGTGGCTAGTGAAAAGCTTGATTTACGTTATGCTGCTAATTTAATTACATTATCAATATGATTACTCCGTGTTACTCCTGTCACAATGTCATTTTTTAAATTTAGTTAGCTTGCTTCGTTTTTTATTATCTTTTTTTTTTTGAAAGAAATTTAGTTATGTCCATTACTTTATATTATATCGTACGAAAACTTATGACAATTCATGCATGTTAGCCGACCCCAAATTATTTTGTACTAAGGCTTTATTGTTGTTGTTGTTGGTATTACTAGAATACTAGCCAAGGAATTGAAAGATAAACTACTTTATTTGATAGCTATGTACTCCATATCTTTATAAATGTAGACGGTTGATTTACTTAAAAATGACCGTTAGATAAAAAAAATTACTTTTAAAATCACTGGGATATTGTTGAGACTTTTACAGAGGAATGACAAACCTTTTTTATTTTTATTTATTTACTCGTACATATGGACATTAAGGCATATGCCAGGACACACATTGGTACGAGACTCCTAAATTCTATGAAATTAATCAAATTTATATATAACAAAATGAGAGATATATTAAGCAGATTAGAGGGGAATATAAAACTTAGTCAACAAGTAAACGAGTGAGGCAAAATTCAAGCATCTAGACATCAATCCAGGTTGTCCCAAACTACAATGCATGGAATTAGAAAGCCATATTACACTCCGTATAATTTAATCAAAAAGAAAAGAAACCAGGAACCAGCTAACACTTTGCTGTTCTGAGAATACGAAGAGTGTGAAAACAATGACGCAACGTTCATAAAATGAAGTACATAAAATACAAAGAAGAGTTTAAGCAGTCGTAGTAAAACTATAGGTGGTGGGGAGGGTGGGTTCGGCGCTAGGTATATTGGGCTGGGCAGAGTGCATGGAAGAGGCTGGGGAAGAGTGCGCTGGTGGGGTTGAGATAGAGGAGGAATGCGGAGTTGGGCTGTGTGGTGAGGGGCTTGGGCTAGACATGTGGGGCTGGGTAGAGGGCGTGGAGTCAGCAACTTCGGTGACAGGTTGATGTATTGGGTTTTGTAGTATGGGCAGGGAGATTTGACACCATGTGCTTGGGCTAGGAATAGGGGTGGAAGAAGCATTGCTAGTGAGCTTGGAGATTGGAAATTCATCTTCAACAAAACGCACATGACGAGAGGTGTAGACACGGTTAGAAATGGGGTCTAGGCAATGATACGCGCTTTGTGTTTTAGAATAGCCTATGAAGATACAAGGTTTGGATTTTGGCTCTAATTTGTGAGAGGTGTACGGTTTTAGCCACGGGTAGCATAGACAACCGAAGGAACGTAATTTTAGGTAATTAGGAATTGAGCCAAACAGACAGTGATATGGAGATTTCATAGACAGAGTGGGTGTGGGGAGCCTATTTATCAGATAAGTGGCAGTGGAGAGGGCATAAGACCAGTAGGAGAGAGGGAGATGAGAGTGGGTTAGAAGAGATAAGCCTGTTTCAACAATATGACGATGTCGTCGTTCGGCAAAGCCGTTGTGTTCAGGAGTATGAGGAGGGGAAGTGAGATGAGAGACGCCATCGATAGTTAGGAAAGATGCTAGGGCTTCATATTCCCCACCATTGTCCGAGTATAGAATTCTGATTGTTTTAGAGAAAAAATTTTCAACTAGAGCCTTAAAGCGAATAAAAACATGTTTGGTATCGGATTTGTTTTTGAGAGGATAGAACCAAATGTACTTAGTGAAATGATCTACAAATATAACATAGTATTTGAAACCATCAAGAGAGTGAACCGGAGAGGTCCATAAATCGTATAAATAATATCAAGAGGGGGCGTTGGAAAGTAAGGTAGAATGAGCAAAGGAAAGTTTATGACTTTTATTGCATTGACAAGCATTACAACTGAAATTTAAAGTGCTAGAGACATGTAGATTAAAATCAGAAACAAGATGCTTGAAAATTGATGACGAAGGATGGCCTAGCCTATGATGCCAATTTATTGCCGGTGCTTTAAGGGTAGAGTAAGCTGAAATATTTGAGGAAGAGGGCCATTCGTAAACCCCATGATTAACTGGCCCCTTCAGGAGTTGTGCCCCCGTAAGTCGATCCTTCAAAACGAAGAAATCAGATGAGAATTCAATAGTAAGATTATTGTCAGAACACAATTGAGATATAGAAATAATATTGCGAGACATAGAAGGAGCACATAAGATGTTAGATAACATAATAGACTTTGATGAAGAAACAGGTAAGAAAAGAGACCCAGTGTGAGTGATAGGAACACCAAGACCGTTACCTATAACTATTTCTTCTGTGCCATCATATGGGTGATGAAGGGACAGTGTGGATAGGTCTTGTGTGACGTGGTGGGAAGCACCCGTGTCTAAAAGCCACGAGGGAGAGGAGTTTGATGGAGCAGCAGTGGCGACATGCGCCTGAGGAGAAGTTGAGCCACGGTTCTGGGGTGGCAGCGTGGGTTTTGCGGAGGGGAAGCGTTAGTGAAAAGTGGGGCATCTATATAACGAGTGCCCATGAGTGTGGCACCATTGGCAGCGACCTTTGTAGCCAGTGCTAGAAGGTTTATCACCGACTGGTTTCTTAGAGTGATAGGTAGCGTGATTATGGTAGGGTGGCTTGCGAGATGAATCATGAGGATGGGCTGGAGGGGGAGTGCTACGAGTGGAAGTAGCATGAGCAGAGGCAGGAAGTGGGGATGAAACAGGAGTATTTCGGAGACTAACTTCTTTGATGAGGAGTTTTTCATGGAGCTCATCAAAGGAGATCAAGGTGTCACGGTTGTTAGTGGCGTCAATGACAGATTGGTAAGCCGAGTCTTGAATTCCTTCAAGAACTCGTTCAATAAGATCATCCGGTTTGCAAGGGTCCCCTAAAACTACTAGTTGGTCAGCGCAAACACGGATAGCATTCATGTATTCTGTGATACTTTGGGTGCCTTTTGTAATGGACCTAAGATTGGCTTTGAGAAGTTTAGCATGACCACGAGTGTGACGTGCAAAGGTGTGGGCTAGAATGTCCCAAGCCTCTTTGGTAGTTGTGGCTCGAGAAACTAACGGAGAAATATTCGATTCTAGAGTACCTAGGAATGCACCAAAAAGGAGCTTGTCTTGACGAACCCAAGTGGTGTAGGCCGGGTTTGGGGAGGTATCATTGTCAGTGGTAAGGGTGGGTGGCGGTGCAGGGTGAGAACCATCAATGAAATGCGAAAGGCCGTGGCCAACAAGAATGGATTCAAGCTGGAGTTTCCATGATAAGTAGTTGAGGTTGGTGAGTTTGATTACATTGGTTAGGTTGACAATGATGAGTGGGTGCGATGGTTGGGCATCATTGGGAATAATGGAGTTGGAAGCCATGGGAAAGGAGTGAAGGGAAAGATGCGTTAAAAAAAAAATAAATTAGGAGGTTTGATCAACCTGCTTTGATACCATGAAGGAATTGTATATTCTTGATTAATTAACAAAGATGAGTATACAGCCTATATTATATACAAGAAGCTCTACGTACAGCTACAAGAAGATAAACATAAAGCTACAAAGAAGATAATAATACAATCCTATAAATAAGTGATAAGATAACTATCTTGCTAAGCATAGGATAATTATCTTGGTAACTAACGTGTGACTCTATCACTTAATACAATTGATATCGTCTTTTTTTTTTTTCCATACAGAGTACATGCAAGCATGAAAAAATTAACTTCAATAATTATTTTAAATACTAAGGATTTTATATTTGTAATATTAACTATTGATAAAAAATGGATATTCACGAGTCCATTCACGACAACAAAATAAAAGACACTCTAAATTATTCTACATTAACAATACATACGAGTAACATTATTACAATGTAATGATCCTTAATTACCTCGTAATTTTCTAGAGAGTAAAAGTGCTACTCTGTAAAAACACATGGGCTTAATAAAGCTAAGGATGTACTTTAGGCCTTTAGTTCTACACTCAACAATGTTCACCACCATTGCAACATATAGAATGGTGATACATAGACATGAATAGACAAAAGGTTTTATCAAAAGGGTTAGCACTTTGCAGTTTGCACCTTTGAGGCTTTGAGTTCCTTGACTTGAATATACATCTACACTCGATCATTTGATATGATAATACTCTAAAAATGGAACCCCCAAAAGAGATACTCTCACGGATTTTGAAAACACGCGTGCCTTGAAATATTTTGATATCTCTTTTTCCAAATTTCAAAACCCAATATTATTAATTCTCTCATACTAAGAAAGTACAGCTAGTCAGCTAGACTCTAGCTAGTGAACTTGTAATAACTTCATATTATTGTCTAACCCCAACTACCATACTACCTCCATAAATACTGGCCTATTTCTCTCTATAAAATAGCTACTCTTTTTGCTTCTTTCTTCAACTCTTTCTCTCTCTTAATTCTCTTATTAATCTCTCTTCATATTGTTGAATTAATTAAGCAACTAATTAACAAGGTTTTTATTTGGTGTTCTTAGCTTTTGTCTCTCTTACTCACATTATAATTTAAGGATGTCTGTAAGTTTGTTTCTGTCTCTCTCATTTTAGTTTTTGCATGCTCTAGTTTGCAAGCTCTTTCATTTATGCATCATGCATGAGCTTAAATTCCATGTATTTCAAACGTCATTGATTTGGAGAATAATCCCAAATTAGTTTTTTTTTTTTTTTTTTTTTTTTTTTTTTTGTGATTTAGAGATAGTTGCAGAGTATAATCATATAGACGAGATTTGATTTTAAGTCATTGATAGTCAAATATCATCTAAAAGACTTTAACTAACTAATTAATCCGTAATTATGTAGCTAATGAGGACGTGACACAATTTTGTATTTGCTTGTTCCAAGAAAATAAACTAAGCTCAGCTTTTTTAGCGTGGTCCAAATCTCTTCATTTTGTTCTCTTGCTAGTGTGTAGTGTCCACCTTTATACATTAATCAAATTTTTTACTTGTGACATAAATTAAACATGCAACTCATGAATATTAAAAATGGTTAGTTATTACATAATTGTCTTCTCATATTTCTAACATTGTTGTTTTGGTGAGCAGATGGTGGAAGTTTTAGTGCCAAACCTTGATTGTGAAGGATGTGCATCTAAATTAAAGAAGGCTCTTTACAAGCTCAAAGGTACTCCATTTTGTTTTTTCGTGAATTTCAATACAAAGATTTAATTATAATTGTAATTTCTATTACGCGTATAAATTTGTGAGATCTTTGTCTTGTACTGTACTTGGTATGAAACGTAAATTGGAGCACTAAAAACAGGTCATTATAGTAGGGGCCATTATTGCCATTTGCACATACATTTCCCTTCTTCCTGAATCCAGACTACATGATGGCCTCCTTTTTTTTTTGTTTGTCACCCTTATATTTCTAGAATTAGATCATAATTATGTTTGAGTAAGTATCCAACTTTTTTAATTAATCAAGTAATTAATATTAGCCCTGAGTTTTGTTTTCCCAAATATTATGTGCTTAGAGACTCTATTCACAATGTGGTCACATACTCACATTTGCATGTATTTTAAAATTAATACTGAAAAAAATACGAAATATCATTATATCTGATTAATTTATCACAGAGCAAATTAGTCTTAAATATTATTTTAGGATCGAGGGAGTATGTAATTAAGTATCATCTTCGATGTGGTGTTACTATTTCTTCATTCTATAGCTAGGATATATCTTTGATTAATATATTCAAATTATAGTAATGATTCATAAACTTAATTACATTATAAAAACTGAAATTATTTATATGAATGTGCACTAATAAATGGTCATAATTTTTTTGGCGCCGGAAAGAAAGTTTGACCAAGACCAAATGGAAATGTGTTGGGCTGATGGCCCCCCCTCTCGCAACGTAACAAATGGAAATGCATGACAGTTGAAGAGAAAAGCTGTAATTAGGTGACCAGCATTCTGTTGTTAACTGGCAATTTCTTTTTTCATTTTCTTGCTTTTATTTTTCCGTGTATTCGGAAATTTTAAAAATAAAAGGGGTACCAACATAATTATGATAATAAAAAAAAAGTATGGATTATAAATTAATATAGTGGTAATTATCCATGGTTCATGGACCATGTCAAATCATTGAGTTTACAAAGTCTATCTAGCTAAGTCATAACTTTCAACTCTTTTGAGACTTATTTTTTTCAAAATGAGAAAGCAAGATCATAATTCAATGTGTGTGTATGTTGCATATCATGTCAATGTGTGTGTATGTTGCAATAATGCCATGCTAATTAAATATGAAGTAATTAATAACCAAGTGTATAATGTATCACTTGTTAGAATTATAGATGGCAAATAATGAAAAGCACGGAAGATGTATTGGGTGTATTTTGTGACTTTGTGTAGATAAAAAACCCACACGAATTATGATATAGACGAGATTCAATCCCAAACATCTCACTTCATATGGGTTTTTCTAGGGCACATTTTCTATCTTTTCTATTGCCTATAAATCTTTCTTTTTTAAAGGTGACCAGATCTCAACCCTCACGGTTTTTTTTGATTCAATATTTACGGGCCAAATACTTGGGAGTAGAAGGGGGGTAAGGGAATCCCTACCCCTAATCCCAAATACCCTAACTTAGTAGAATTCGAATTCCAAACCTCTAGGACCTAAGGTAAGAGTTTTACTATTGATCATGAGTGGAGTCTTACTATTGCCCATAAATCTATAATCAATAATTTTCTGTTCATCTTGGATATGAAAAAGCTGACAAGTCATATTGTCATTGATTGGTTACGCATGTACTCATAATAGTGCGGTAACTATTACACACTCATGAAGACATGCAGTGGACAGTGGTTATGAGAGATTGTGTCATATTGATCATGTTACACTTATACAGTTATACCCTACTATTGTGCCTATGCTTTAGATTTAAAATCACAAGTCCACTAAGCCCATCTTGCTGGCCCGTGTGCTCAAGGCCCATATATTGTATTCTAAACTGGCCCAATTCACAGCCGTAAGCCCAACTATTTAGTCTTGTATGTGTTTAAAGGCAGTCCAATAACAAAGTACTCTCTATAATTGCAGGAGTTGAGGATATAGAAGTGGAAATGGACACACAAAAGGTAACGGTAAAAGGGTATAGACTAGAAGAAAGGAAAGTAATCAAGGCTATTAAAAGGGCAGGCAAAGCAGCTGAACCATGGCCTTTTCCTTCACATTCTCACTATGCTTCATTTTACAAGTACCCTTCCTACATTACCAACCATTACTATGACACTTCTAATGGCGCCGCCCCAAGTGTCCACGCATTCTTCCATACTCCGTCTGTGTACTCTGTGGCCGTGGCATCCGATGAGGCTGTGGCTTCCATTTTCAGTGATGATAATCCTCACGCATGTAGCATAATGTAATTTCATTTAATTAGTAGCATGGCCTAGATCACTTTTGCATATTGCACATTGTGTTCTTGTTAGTGTATGATCGATGTATTGATTGATTATTTTATGTTATATGAAAGTGTACTGTGACCATTTTTTTTATCTCTAAATTTTTTCTTTTCATCCAAAGTTTCAAGTGCATTATGAAGTATATGCATGCTTCCCCCAATTTAATCACCACGTTTTGAGTCTTTTGACTCATGTACAACTTTGACTATTAATGTATACTAGTCTATATTTATCGATCAATAAAATATAAGTAAGATTAATTAAAAGTTTACATTTTGAAATTTTACATTAAGGACCAGCATGTTACTCTACCATAATACATTAATACTTCATAACAAAGCTAAGATAGTATGGAGTATATACTTTCCGTCTCTTTTTATAAGACAATCATTGTCAAAATATAAAGAACTTGTAGAGACGAAGGCATAAAACCATGCAAAAGGCAAGAGAATAAAATCCAGTGTGGTATGCTTCCCTCCAAATCTCCAAATGAAGAGAATCTTTGAAATTGGTAGAAAAGAAAGGAGCCAATTCTCTCATAAATGGACCCCCAAAATCCTCCAAAAGTTTGATGGCCACCTCTCTTTTTCAGTTTTTCTCACGCTTGTGTTTGGACTATAGAATATACGGATCATGATGTCCAAAACTACAAGTCTTCACTCGATATGATTTACCCTCTCCATTTTAATCATTTATTTTTATACGAGTACTCGTTTATTTTTTTTGTTATACCATATATGGGTATGCCTAAATTAATCAAAGTATATTGAAAATTTATTAGGAAGGTGGTGAAATAGTGACATCGCTCCCTACCTTATATCGATGTAGGGATCAAACCTCATGAGAATCATTTGAGGGATTTCTCTTATCTCCTTCCACGAGTGAATCTCTTTTTAAAGGTGGATCGGTAATTAATGGAGAATATTTAATGTGAAAAAAAACTCTAATTTATGGTTATTCTACAATTATTTCTTTCTCGATTTTAACCTATTATATTGTAACTTATCTCATCTTATTTAAACCCATTAAACATTATAAGAACTTACTTTATTGTAAAAATGAACTTTGGCTAACCTTTATCAACTCTTAACTTGCTTTTTCTAAACTCATCATCTAATCTAACTAATTGAATAACTAGATAACATTTGAGATATTATTGATGTTTGAAAAGTAATTCACCTAATAATTTAAGCAAGTGGATGGAAAAAATTTCTGTAAAAATTCAAAGTTCATAATCTAGAGTAACAATGACCAAACTTCTTTTCTTAAAGATAAGTAGATAGCATAAGAAACTACTGAGCGTCTTCATTTGGACAAAGCAACACCTAATTAAGCTAAATGTGGAATTGCTGTGAAATCGGGGAATTTGTTACAAAAGTACAATTTTTTTTGAGAATACCCTACAAATACAATACTATTACACATTTTCAATTTTTAAATGGTAGGGTGATTCCATTTGTCTGTTTAATTTGTACACTTGCATATTTGGACTCTTCTCTCACACTTTAATAACTACTTCCTTTAATTTTTTTACTTGACCTGTTTATTTTATTACGTTTGTCAATGTAAAACTTTAACGATCAATAACGTTAATTCTTCATAAGTAAAAATTATAAAAGTTATACATTATAATAGTATTTATCGAGACGAATTCAAAAAGATCCTACGTAAATATGTTTTTCCTTATATATTATTCACAAATGACGATAAAAAAAAAAATGGTGAATAATGTAAAACTCAAAGCGGGTCAAGAAAAAAAAGAATGAAGGAAGTACAATGTACCTCAAGATTTTGTTACCTTCAATTAATTTTTTGCGTACTTGAGTTATTTTGTTGTTTTCTATATTTTCCAAACATGCGTGAGTTTTTTCTTTATTCACATTTTTTTTTGTATTTTTGATAAGTATTCCGTATCATATCTTTTTGAGTATTTTTTTTTTAATTACTCCCTTTATTTTTAAATGCTTGCTCTATTTTTTTATGCGCCGAGTTTTTGGAGAAATTGGAGAAAGTAATAAAATATGAAAATAGTGGGGTTGGTGGAAGAATAAAAATTGTAAAAAGAAAAAATAGTTGAGAGAATTAGAGGAGAGAGAATATGAAATCACGGAGTAATAAAATATGATTTATGTTGGGTCTACTAGTTGAGATAAATGAATCAAATATTGTAAAAGCTTTTTAAATAAGGAAATGTAGCAAGTATTTAAAAACGGCTGGAAATAAAAAGTGGAGCAATTATTTAAAAACGGAGGGAGTATATATTTTTGTTTCTAAATTATGATTACACTTACATTGTTTATATTTTGGTACGAGTATAATTTTAAAACATTGATTCATTTGTCATATTTTAATTTTCTTTTTCATATAACTTTTCATCTATTCAACACTATGACTTACATTATTATTCTATTCTTACGATATGAGGGAGTACATGTACGCAATAGTGGAATACTCGTAGAGTAGTAGTGTATAGACTATAGTAGAGTGTATGTGATTACTGATTGCCTGATTGGTACGAGCCTACGATTAACCATATTAGAGTTACAAAGTGGAGCACAGCGAGTGCACGTAACATCAGCAAAGAGACCCTACACACACGCCAACCTCTCGTTTCCCCACTTTATTTTTGTTGTTGTTTCGTTAGTTACTTAGTTTAAATGCTCAACTCTTAAATTCAACTCTCTTCATCTTCTTTCTCTTTCTTTTTCAACATTTTTTTCAAGGTGAAAGTTTCTTCAACTTCTCCTTTTTTCAAAATGGCACAGGTAAATTTCTCTCTCCTCTTCTCTTCTATCCAAATTGTTTTATACCATAAAAATTCATTCTTTTTCTTCTTTTTTTGACTGAATTTATATGATTTTTGGTTAATTTTTCATGGGCAGAAAGTTGTGTTAAAGGTGCTAACCATGACTGATGAGAAAACAAAGCAAAAAGCAATTGAAGCTGCTGCTGATATCTTTGGTACATAATTTCATACCTTTATATCATTTTCTTATTTGTTGTCGCTTTACTAGTTTAAATTATACTGTCAACGTGACAATTAATTCTGAACCGAACAGGGTAATTATAATTATAGTGTTGACATTTGATGAACAGGGGTGGATTCAATAGCAGCAGATCTTAAAGAGCAGAAATTGACAGTGATTGGGCTAATGGATGCAGTAGCAGTTGTGAAGAAATTGAAGAAAGTTGGAAAAGTTGATTTGATTTCAGTTGGTCCAGCCAAAGAAGAGAAGAAAGAAGAGAAAATAGAAGAGAAAAAAGAGGAGAAGAAAGAAGAGAAGAAGGAAGAAAAAAAAGAGGAGAAAAAATAATTCTCATTTTCCTAATTTTATTATTTACTCCAAATTATTAAAATACATACTAAATATTCATAATTCATCATATACAGAGTTGTTTATTTATATATAGTCATTTCTGCTGGTTAATATTAGTGTTTATTTTTGGTAGGTGATAGACTATTGAAACTTTTTTATGAAAAAAACAAGTTATGGAAAAATCATAATTTTAATCTAACTTTTGCAAATATTGGCATATGCTTTTGTATTTTCTTGGATGGTGAATATATGATGCAAAGACTCCACTATGAAATTGGAGATTGATTAGATATAAATATCTACATGGTGTAACTATACTTTGTAAATATAGTTTGTTCTCAATTGGGATAAGATCAATTAGCAAGGATTGTGTGTAATGTGTTCTCTCTTTTTATACCATGATTAAGCAAATTTCATGAATCATATGTATTTGCAAGTTTTTACTCATATATTAGTTGCACATTATTTAGGTTCAATTCCATACAAGATGAAGCTCGAACTTTTTTTATCATGATCAAATCCTCTTAAAGTTTAAAGTTTATCAAGAAGAGATTAAGATAGATTGTACGGAGTATTTAACTATTTATGCAATCTTATGTTAATTATATGAAACTTTGTTTTTAGTCATGACACCCCAATAGTGACCATTGACATATGTCAATAGCCATGCCATTGAAAAAAGAATAGTGGGATTCTTAGGTTTCACGCAAAATTAGTTTTAGAAGGGTCATTTTTCATCCATAGAAACGTCCACTAATCCACTATAAGTGGACAGAGTGTGGACAAATTTAGCAACTAAAAACAACAAAATCCGAACGGTTCCAAATATAATTAAGGCACAAAATACATTCACAGCATGAAAATGATATTCTACAGTGGAGATATGTTATGACTCAATCACGTATTGTATCATCATGAACAAGATTGTTCGATAATGACTTCATTTTGTCATCACATTAATTTTATAATAAGATCAACTTTGCCTAATTCATGCTTCACATATATGATTAATGGCTATCTGATGTCATTATATTCCCCTCATCATTTTATAAGGCATTCAGATTATTCTCCAAGCATTGAAATATTTTGGAATTAATGATTTATTTTCATTGACTCATTATAATTATATATCTACCTTTACGTGTGATCTATTAGATTCATCATAATTTCAATTTGCAATTTTGATTTTTTCAATATTTAAATCTAACTTTGATTCGGCGACTATTAAATTTAAACTTTAAACTTTTTGATTAAAATACTAATTCATACTCTGTAATGTATTAAATGGCAATAAATTAGTTAGTTAGCCGACTAGGCGACCATTGTCCAATTGTCCTTAAGTTTTGTCCCCTGCATTTGACGAACTTCATTCTGGCATCTTAATTCCATGATATATACTGTATATTCTATATGTCTATATAATCAAGCAAGTCGGCCAAAAGGAAGAAAAATCTAATATATGTACTGCATAAACTATAAACTCTACAATTTTGAACTCCCTATTAAGTTACCAGTTCACACGAAGCTAGCTAAATCACCTACCAATACTACTCAGAAGTTAGCAAGAGCGCCTACCACTCACGACTTTCATATACGACGTAGATAGCTTAGAAAGGCTGCCTTTCCATTTTAGGTGATGCTAAATTCAACATATTGATATCTAAAATATTAATTGGCAAGCCATCCTTTGGAGAAATCATTTTCATTGGGACCAAAATAATAAGCCACATTTGAACTTTTTAGTCGAACACTACTAAGATTGACGATTACAGAGTATTTCTGATCATTGTCAACATGTAAAACATATACGGAGACTATGGAAGCGTTAGTTGGACAAATCTATCAAAGCATTATTTGTATTGTTAATCAAAATGTAGTACATTATTGTAAACTTCAATTGTAGAAGCTAACAAGTTTTGACCTGGAAGGCTGGAATCAAATTATGGCTTTTGTTTTTGGCAACAGAGGGAAGATCAATTCTTCAAGGTTGCCAAAAATACTATCGACGGAGTGGCTCAAGAAGGAATCTGTTAGACCAGAAGTTCCCTAATTATCTTTCTATACGTACAACCTTTTGCCAATCTCCATGTGTACTATGGTTTACGACTTTACAAGTCCTCCATCACAATAAAGAAACCATCTCAGCAAGATGGTGCAGTCAATCTACAGGGAATGCCCAAAAATATTATGACGAGTAGGGAAAATCAAAACATGGAGGTTCTCGAAGTTCAATCGCTTCATCATTCTTAGCTATCAAGATTTCTACAGTGTTGGCTATGGGAAAAACAGAGATATTTTTTCACTGATGCACAAAACTTTAATTCTGAAACTCTATAATCAAATAACTCAGGAGTCAGGACTATGGAATAGGGATCTTCCAGTGGCTGAAAACCAAACCTGCAATTTAAAGCATAAACTGGTTTAGCGTTGCTTATCTTCATCTCTAAATCTTGCTAGATACATGTCAAAATCCTGAAACCGTCAAGCATTTAACATTTCCGGGCACCTCTAATTATGGTTTCATTTTTTAATCTAGGTGGGGGTGGGGGTGGGAGTGTAGGTTAAGGTGAATATGGTTAATGTTGTTTGATGCTCATGTTTATTGACAACAACGAAACTTGGACAGCACATTTGAAATTTATATTGAATACATATACCAAGAATTTTTAAATGTTAGCAATCGATTGAGTTGTAAAAGCATACCAAACAAGCATCTCTTCTTTTTAGGGATTGCGCCCACAAATGTGATGATGTAGGACATTGCAATACAGACTTTGCAGCACTCCAATAGAGGTAAGATTTAAATGGAGAGCTGCAAAACAGTTAGATACATGCTTCGCAACTATATACAAGACCAATCATGCAGAATGGCAAGTTCAATACTACAGTCATAAATCATAATACATTCTCCTAACAGAGAATACCAGACAGGGGAGCTTGGGGAAACTAGTGCATAAACCAATAGATACAGTGGAACATGCATGTGTAATAACGCACTTCATCGAATCTTCCAAATGAAAATTATGAATGATATCTAAAAAGGAGATAATTTCTTTAACAGTCTAATGGTTATTGCATAATGAATCTATATGCCGAATAACTGGGCGTCTAGCTTCTAAGATCTTGTACCTTCATGATCAATTATCATAAGACTCAAGAACAAGAAGCATTTATGTGCTCTAGCTGTTCTTCAGGGGGAACAAAGTAAGAAACAATCAGAAAAAGTTTAATAGCACAAAAGACACGCACCAGAACTTGGCATGTTGGCAGCAAGAGACAGTATTACATAAGTATAAAGTAGTAAGTACTTCATAATACATAAGACAAATCATGAACTTAATTCAAATTGGCGTTACTTTCAAACAGAGTGAAAGTGCATGAACACATCAAATTATCCATGAAGCCACTAAAAATCAACTGTTTGAGATTTGAGAACCTGTCACCATGTCACGTCCTGTTAAGTGTTAACATACATGTTTACACTATCTGACATTTATAACAAGTTTTGACCACAGAAAGGGGTAGTGTTGCCAATTTTATATGAAACAGAAGTACTAACCATAAGGTTTAATCTTAGTGAACAACATGACAGTGCAATTTCGCAATAAATACTTGTAATAATTACACTGAAACACTGGGAGGCACTCTTCATACTCCACATATTCATCCTTGTGAGTCCATTTTCTAACTCTGATGATATCAAAATCGAGGAAGAGGGAAACTGCAACTCCTACCTCATAGGGTGAGGGAAGATATATTATAGGCAGATCCACTAGGTGATAATACATGTTTTCCTTGCCCGCAAAAGAATTTCCTCTATAGAAATTGCAATTTCACTAGCATGGCAATGATAATTCAACAAATAGAGGTTACAAGATCTAGTCTCCTTACCTCAATTCTATCTTTACAGATAATAGCAACTGGCATGAATTAGAGGAAGAAGCAGAGACAGAAATGACTTTTCAGAATATAAAGGATAATTTTAATTTCCAGGCAAAGCTACAAGCTAGAGAGACTAGCTCTAATTGAGAAAAGAAAGGTTGGGCACTATACCAAACCACACTAGCAGATGTTCTCATAAACTCATCCTAGGCAGGTGAATGTGATTAACAAAATACTCGAGATCCCAGAAGAGTTGTGGCCATGATGGAAGTAAAAACATCTTCGGAATAGCAGCAAAATCAAGTGAGAGAGACCTAATATTGCTTAAGATGATCTTCTCAACTAGAAGATAAGTAGGCTCTAATTTTTGAACAGCATACATATTTGTCAAAAACCTTAAAGCATACACACCTTAGATGTCAACATCGTCAGCAAAAAATGAGGAAAAGAGCATACATAAATAACATAGAAAGGCACAAAACTGAACAACAATCACCAAATTCTGAAAGGAAACAACTTAAAAGCCATTGGAAAGATATTATTTTCCACGTGGAAGTAATTGCTTTATCAAAATGGTGATATTCACCCGACAAAGATGACATCGAATGTGGTGAAAGGCATGATGAAACTTGGACAAAAGGCATAAGCATATAAATTAACAAGGCAAAATGTGGTGATGAAAGTAATTGCTTTATCAAAATGGTGATGACCATCCGACAAAGATGACATCAAATGTGGTGAAAGGCATGATGAAATTTGGACAAAAGGCATAAGCATATAAATTAATAAGGCGCAAAATGTGGTAATGAAAGAATTTAGCATACCGTAACATCCAATACAAGCAGCAGCTACAAGCTGTGGTGTGTAAACAATCAATGAACTTTCTGGAATAAAGTTACAATGCCAAAATCCTGTAATTCAGTATCTCCTATATCTCTTATATCTTGAGATGCGATGAACATATTGTCCTTTCTCGATCATATCTTTCACTATTTCATGTGCTTCAGAAAGTTTCCCATTGCTTCGCAAGTTACTAATTAAGGTATTGTACACGAGAAAATTTGGGCTGCAATTTCTCTGTTCCATTTCCTTAAGCATAGAGCATGCATCCTCAAATTTCCCAGCCATACAAAGTCCCCGAATCATGGAGTTGTATGTAAATACATTTGGCAGCTTTCCATCTGCAATCATATCACTGAACAACTGCTGGGCCTTCTCTAGCTCTACTGCTGCTATATATCCACTGATCAAAACAGTGTAACTGACAACATCAGGGTTGAACCCATTCTTGCTCATTTCATCAAAGAAGTACTTGCAAGCATCCATATTTCCTGCCCGGCTCAAACCATCCATCAAGGAAGTGTAGTGGAGAGAGGATGGATTTATTCCAACTTCCCTCATATGATTCAAAAGATTAAGCGCAGCATATGGCTTATCCCCTTTTCCAAGAACATGAAGAAGAATGTTAAAAGTATGGCAATCTGGAGATAGTCCATTCCTACCCATTTCATCCAGCAACCGATGGACATTATCCATCTTTCCCAGCCTATAATGTGCACAGATGAGTATGTTATACGTTAGGATGTCAGGTAAATGATTATCAGCCACCATTTGTTGATAAACCCAATCAATTAACCTGTGCTGGTTTATTTTAAAAAGGCAGACCAAAATTGCATTGTAGGAATCCTTGAATGGGCGGTAGTTGAATGTCTTTGACCTAATGAATCTTTCAACGATTGTTCTTCGCAATCCTAATTCACGACAACTACCAATCAAAATATTAAATGTTCTTGCAGTAACCGGGTAACCCTTCTCAGTCATTTCATCAACTAACCGCCACATTGCTTTAAACTCCTCAGCAGCAGCAAAAATTTTCATAAGCAGATGGTATGCATTCAGTGGATGCCTATAGTATTCCTGCTCACTAGACCATACAAAAAACTTGTAAGCCAATTTGGCACACAAAGTCCTATTTTCATGGTTTACAATCTTCAAAATCTTCAAGAGGACTTCTCTAACAAGCAGGCCTGAAATCCTTATATCCAATTCAAGCAACGCCGGTTTCACATTAAAACCCGGACCATCTTGCCTTAGTACATCAAACATCCTATCTGCATCTCTCCACGTAGTCTCAAAGAACTTCTGCTTGAGATTACAGTTACCCTGAAATTGGATATCGTCATCATCCTCTTCACTTGCTCTATCTACTAAACCCGGATCAAAATCCAAACTTTTCCCAAATTCCCTAATCAATTTTTCAATAGGGCTAAACTCTTTGCTAGCATCATCCTCACCACAATCTAAACTACAATTACAAAATACCCGCGATACAGAACGTAAAAATGGGCCGGGATGTAAAACCCTTCGACCAAATTGAGCAACAGAGTTCATAATCAACAAGATTCAACAAATGGGCAGATCCCATTATCTCAATAAACTCGCAAAACCTAACGAATTCGAGAAACCCAGAAACAGATTCGAACATTCAAGTAAGTATATCACCAATTGCAGTGTTCCCATTAAAATTAAGAACCCCAATTCATAAATGTAAAACCATCTTCAAAAATCAAGATAAAAATATACCAATATTCTTATCAAATCAAACTAAAATTAGAAGCTTTCAAGCACCAATCATAACGAAGAGGGTTTAGGGTTTAAGATACGAACAATATAGAAGATGAAAAGGGTTTTGTAGCGCTTTCAAAAGGGATAGAGAGAGAGAAAGAAGCAGAGAAAGCTTACTTGGTTGGATGATTGATTATCGGAAGAACAGGAAATCGCAGTAGCAGTTAAGGAAATCACAAAAATGGGAGAAAACAAAAGATGAAGATGCAGTGTAGTGAAGATGCTGGTTCCCGAGTGGCGGCACAGCCCCAATGTGGAGGTCTCCACTATCCACCTCTTTTTTCTTTTTTTACAACGTCCTCCTCTGTAAGTTTTTTCTCTTAAGGAAACCAACGCAAAATGGCTAGCAGATCGCCGTTTTGTTTACCTTATTTTCATTTACGGGTATTTTAGATCACAAAAGTTTAGATGCAAAGTACTCCTAATAATATATGGGCTAAGTTTAGATGATACGAAATAATGCATAGACTAGCTAATAATATTTCATACGTAGTATAAGATAAGGGTTGATAAATTCCAATAAGGTCTAATAACACCAATTAGATAAAATAAATTAATAATGCTTGGTATAAGATGAAACTACCTGAGTCCGGGCAGTTAGCCATTAGTTGGTAGCCGTTAGCATGTGTTAATAAGTTATTAGGTAATGATCCATCTCCTATACTGAATTGTGATTTAGGGTTGTGAAGGAAGAATATTACTCCATGAAAACACTTTTAAATTTTTTAATCTTCATTAAATTTGCCAATTTATGTTGATCAGTTGGTTGTGCAATTAGGTTACTATGATTACAAAAATGGTACTAGAATATGATTATAATGAAAATAATTTGAAAACTTTTACTTACAAAAATAGTCTAGCTTATACAAAAGTTACAGATTTCACATGTAAACATAAGGAAGTAGTTATGCTACTATCAACCCTTGATAGAAACCAACATTATCAAATATCAAGTAGTATATTTCACTATTAAAACTTTTATGTACGTCCAATTTACAATAATATTAGATGATGATGAATCTTTAGCTTTTATGATGTTGAGCTCAGGTTCGGTGGCTTGCGGGGGTTTTCATAGAGATACCACTCAAGGTTTGTTTACTAATTAATCTGATTTTGTTTTGATTATGATCTTGCTTGCTCTAGTCAATGACCAAATAATATTTAGTTGGTAATATTGGAAGCAATTACCTGTTCCATCTTATAGATTGTTCAACTCCTGCAGCATATACAGATTAGAAGCACAATTTAGACTATACATACACATGTAGGAAGAGGTTCGACAAGCCTGTATATAACCAACATGACTATAAGATTTATAACATTCACAAACTCTGGAAAATGTCCAGTTCCTTATTTACAGCAGTTGCTAATTCAAGTACATGTCTAGTAGAGTACCATTATCCCAACACCTAAAGCAAACTATTGTGTAAAGAGGATTACAAACACAATATCCCAGAAGCAAGCATATCTAAGCACATTATATTATTACTGAAGCCCTGATCCCCCTTGTCTTTTCTGCTCTCTTTTCTGCTCACTTTCCATGCTAGAAATTACAGGAGATCCTTCATTACCTGTCACAAGAAAACACAGCGAAAGTTAACATTATTCGAGCTACTTCGCTTCCACATACAATTCCTTGTTTCAAACCAAATACCAAGTATATGCTATAAATGAGTTCTTACCTTCTACCATATCATCCTGTGATGGAACCTCAGTACCTTTCTGATACCAGAAAGTAGCAGCATCTCTGAGCCTGTCGAATACACCCTTCCCAGCACTAGCCATACCTGTACCAGCATTATCATAATTTGTCTCCTCACTTCTACCAAACTGTCGTGCCACCTCTTCTGACTCCGTTACTCGCCCTATAACTGTCACTTTATCTCCTTTCCCTTCCTCCCCAACTCTGCTTACATCCTCCTTACGCTTGTGCAAGGGAAATGCCTCAGTTATAACATCGGATAATGCCTTGTCTTCTTCCCCAGGCTTCAGTTTCTCGGCCAAATACTCCTTCATGGACACCCCCTTATCCATTTCAGTACTAGGCCCAGTCGTACTAGGGGAATGAACATCACGGCCTGAATCTTGCATCTTCAAGGCCACCGTTGCTACATTACCATACACAGGTGCCCCCACTCTGGATTCTCCTTCATTCACATGAGGCTGCTCTTCTTGATTCCCACCATAGCCTAGCGTAGTAGCTACAGCATTCTTAGCTTGTACAGCCTTATCGGTGATAGCAGCTGTAACATTCGATATTTTTTCCCCAAAACCCACTGGCTCCGACGATTTTTCATGCATTCCTGAAGATGCATCAGCTGAATGTTGATCAGAACTATCACCATACCCTAGCTTTGATGTAACAGAACTAGTGGCTTGCTTTGCTTTATCAGCCACCATTGCAGCTGTAGATGATATTTTTTCGGTGTAACTTTCTTGTTTCTGCTCTGACATTTCATGTGTTCTCCCACTTTCTGGACCAGTATCTTGAAGAAATATGCTCTCCTCAGAACTGACTGGCTCCGGAAAAAACTGATCATGGCTTCCAGTGAAGACATTCTCGTCTCGTGGACTATGTTTTGTTCTGTTCAGTTGAGCATCACCAAGTCTTGAATTTTGGTGTGGTTCATCATGAATATTCATCTTATCCAACTGATGCAGGATTGGACTAACACCTACTTCTTCACCACCTAAAGAGAGTAGAAGCATATCAGCAAAACATGCTCATGTCGTAGTAGCCTTCATTTATCAGCTCTTCTAAATACCACTATTGAATTTGTTAATAATTAATAAGAGATAGTTTAAAACAAAAAATTAAACAAGATAAAAAGAGTTCCATATTGTAGTGCCATCTTTTTAGCCAAAACAAGTGAAATTAAATCATACCCATGCCTGTTGGATCTCCAACTTTAGTCTCATAATTTCCAGCATAACGTCTTTCCCCTGGACCTCTAGGAGTATTAGGATCCTTATCCAACAATTCTCCTGAATTCTCAAGGAGGCCACCAAATTTCCCCGTGCCTCTCTCTTCATCAGCACCCATCCGATGATTTCTAACTGTATGAGCTGAAATGGGTGTATTCTTCGATGCATTGAACAGTTCTTCTAACCTATTTGGCCTTCCGGTATCAGTTCTAGACCAATCCAATGTCTCTTCTTGACCTGGAACATAATTTGTAGTATTAGGAACAAAGGTCTGACAATCGCCTTGCAACTTGCTTCCCGGGGCATCAGTCACCCCTTCCATTGCAGTGCCTTCACCCAATTTACTTCTTCTTTGATTACCTGGCATGAAGATTTGAGCGGCTGTAGGATCATATCCTATCAATAATAAGAATAAAGCTATGGCTGAACAATTTCACAAAAGCGCAGTAAGTTCTAATGCTAGCTAGTGGCTTAACCATTATTAACCTGAAGGGTCCTCAAAATAGTAATTCACATGTTACATTCTTCGAGTATCTTAGTTTTATAATGGTATCATTTTGCAAAATACTATAAAAATATATAGAGTTTAGGCAAACAAGATTTCTACCTGAGTGAGCTGCAACTGGTGTACTCTTCGATGCATTTGACAATTCCTCCGACTCATTTAGCCTTCCGGTATCAGGCCTAAACCAATCCAAGGTCTCCTCTTGCCCTGGGACATAACTTGTAGTAGTGTGAACAAAGGTCACATGATCACCTTGAAGCTTGTCTTCAGGGTCATCAAGCGCTCCTTCCATTGCAGTTCTTTCTCCCAGTATACTTCTATGTTGCCCTGGCATGAAGCTCTGAGGCATGTGAGTATCTGTGGAATCATATCCTATCAATTATAAAATTAATCATTGATTAAACAATAGGTTGACTATTTTAACTTACAGTAGAAGAAAAATAACAGTTTACATGTTAGATTCCATCTCAATTTTTTTTGTACCAAAAAAAAAAAAAAAAAAAGGCAGGCAAACAAGAATTCTACTTGAATGAGCTGCAATTGGTGAATTCTTCGACGCATTAGACTGTTCTTCTGACCCATTTAGCCTTCCTGTATCAGTTCTAGACCAACCCAAGGTCTCCTCTTGTCCTGAAACATGACTTGTAGTAGAGGGATCGAATGTATGAAAATCGTCTAGATATTTGCTTTTCGGGGAATGAGGAACCCCCTCCCTTTCAGTTCTTTCACCCAAATTACTTCTATGTTGCCCTGGCATGAAGCTCTGAGCAGCTGTAGAATCATATCCTATTTTTTATAAGAACAAATCAATAGTTAAAACGTTTTGCATATATCACTTATCAATAGGCACAAAGATAATTCAGTTTTATCATGAATTCATGATAATATGATATCTATTAACATGTTGCCATGTTGGACTCCATATCAGTAATTTCTGGGAAAATTAGGCAAACAAGATTCTACCTGCAATCGGTATATTCTTTGATGCATGGGACGGTTCCTCTGGCCTATGTGGCCTTCCAGTATCAGTTCTAGACCAACCCAAGGTCTCCTCTTGTCCTGGAATATAACTTGTAGTAGAGGGGTCAAATGTCTGAAAGTCGCCTTGAAACTTTCTTCTCGGGGAGTGGACAGCCCTCTCCCTTTCAGTTCTTTCATCCGCTTCACTTCTATGCAGCCCAGGCATGAAGCTATGAGCAGTTGCAGAATCATGTCCTGTAATTATAACAATGGGTTAAACAATTTAAGAATCCAAGTCTCAAAACTAGCTAGAGGCTAACATGTTAGATTCCATCTCGATTTTCTGTGCAAAAGAGAAAAAGGTCAAAAAAGAATCTTGCCTGCCTGAGCTGCAATCGCTGTATTCGTTGATGCATTGGTTAGTTCCTCCGACCTATGTTGCCTTCCGGTATCAGTTCTAGACCAATCCAAAGTCTCGTCTTGCCCTGGAACATATCTTGTAGTAGAGGGATCAAATGACTGAAAGTCGCCTTGAAACTTGCTTTTCGGGGATTGAATCATCTCCCCTCTTTCAGTTCTATGTGGCCCTGACATGAAGCCCTGACCAGCCTTGGAATCATTTCCTATCATAGTAATCACTTATCAGAACAACATGCAGAGAATTTTTCAAATTTTAACAACATAACATTTAAGCACCAAAGCAAGGTTAATAATTTTCGGGGCACAAAGTCTTTCTCAGGATACCAATTGGCAAATAAGACTATACCTTCAAATAAGCCGTGCAAGTTATGTGTGACAATTTTATTGTGTATTATTCAGAAAGTTTTGATCAAATCTATGTTCGCTCATCTTTACAATTGGCTCATGAAATAAGTTAAGGCGGAGGAACACAAAGATGATAAAGTATGTCATGTTTTCTGTTCCTTACACATAGGCAATTTAACCCCAACAAAAATTTATACACAAAAGCACAAGGATAGAAGGCCTTTGCTTAA